CCGAGGGGGGGGATGAGACGCTGGGGCCAAGAGCGTCACCGTGGCAGATGTAGCAAGGGCGAACGGGGCCCCGCGTCCCGAGAAATCCGTGCAGAATTCCGAAAGATGTCGGGGGCGCCCGGAAATTAAAGTAGGTTGGGCAACGGTGGTCCTGCAGGAATTCTCCACGCACTTGCGCTCCACAGTGCAGATCCGCCTCCAAGAGCAGAACAGGGTCCCCAGCCGCTCCTGGCACCTCACCGGGAGAAGCAGCATCGACGCTTCAAAAGAACCTACGCGAAGAGCCATACCGTTGCTTTCAGCTTGTCTGTGGGCAAGCGAAAAGAGGAGATGAGCGTTCACCATGAAGCAAAGTGCCCTGAGGGGTCCTGGGGGGTTCGCCGTCCTCGGTCCCCCCCCCCCTGGCCTCCGGGCCCTTCACGGGCCGAAGGACCTTTCGAAAACAACTCAGGAGTATTAGTAACATTTAAAAGCTGCGCGGGGAAACCCAAGGGATTCAGGACCCTTCTCCCTCACATCAGAGCATTCCCACACGCGAGATCATGGTGCAACCATTAAGGATTACGAGGGCCAACGGAAGGAAAGCGTGGGGTCGGGGGATCAACAAACTCAGAGCGCAAAGGAACATTCGCCAACCGCTGCCCGCACCTCAACTTCAGGTGGACATCCGCCAACTTGTCGCTCTCCACTGCCAACTGCTTCGAACAATACCTCTGGCCATTCCCGTACAATCCGGGCTTGGAGGCGACACACCCACCCAATCACGCGTGTGTCTTCCGTCCTCCAACCTCTCCGCCGAAACAACAAAAGAGGGGAGTCGGGGGCGTCCAAAAGGGACGCTTCCAAGAGGGAGGGGGGTTGCCAACAATTGCCCGAGGCTCGTGCGCGGACGCGTTGGAATACGAAGAAGGAGGGCATGAAATCCGAGATCTCATGGCCCTGGCCATGATATCGCCATCCTGGGGCGTGGAAATCCCAGACATTCGACGACTTGATATTTTCAATGTGTATCCACGGAAGTCCCGACCCCTTTCCGCGTGTCCGACTTGATGCCCCTGATTGATGGCCCGGGGGGCCCAGAAACGGGCCCGGGTGCCGAGGTCGAGGAACACCTGCGAGATTGAAAACAACTCACGCCGTCTGAGGTCTGGGAGCCTTCTGCCCCACAGGCCTCTTGCGAGCATGGCGGTGCCCCAGGCCTGCCCTGACGAGCCGCCAGGCGCCCTCCTGGACCTTCGTCATGGACGGCTCGCCCTCGGGCTCGACCGAGGACGCTGCGGCCTCCTCTGCCGCGTCGACCACGATGGCGTCCTCCCCGCTGCTGGAGCTGGCGCAGCAGGACATCGCGAGGCCTTCCTTTCCTGTCGCTGAGGGCTTCACGACTTGTGCTGTCCCTCGGCTGGCGCTGGAGCGTCCACGACTTGCTCAGATTTCCCCGGAGATCTATGGACTATGGAATTACCTCGACATGTATGGACTTACCCCGATTGATCTGCATCTACCTCGACCTATCTAGCCTGATCCCCGCGAGTCGACTGGCGAGAAGTCGTCAAGCCCCCTTCGGGATCCTGCACCGCCCGTGCCCCCGCCGAGCCTCTGAAGGTTCGGTCGACAGGCACCCTGGGGAGGGAGTCTTGAGCCGGCACGGCCACCGCAATGCACAAGCACTGACCATCCTCGGGGACCATGCAGCAGCAGCAGCAGCAGCAGCAGCAGCAGCAGCAGCAGCAGCTCGAAGATAGGCGGCAGAACGAGGAACATGAAAGCTGGCCCATGTGGATCTCGACGACGTCGGCTGGGCACGTGTACTTGGCCAGGGCACAAGCGATGCCCCCCTCTCCTGGGACGAGAAGTAATCATATGTGCAACGGAGTCGCGAGCATAGAGGAGGAACACATTCGGATGTTCACGGGGATTTTCTGGATCGGCGCGGGACCCCCCTTCCCTGGCGGAGCGTCCCAGGGGCGGCGCCAGAGGCGCCACCCGGGGGGGCCCACCTGGAGCCTAGATTACCCCAGTGCGACCCTACCTAGAAGTTAGAGCCCCTAGGAAAGCAGCACTAGTTGCTATGCTATGCTATGCTATGCTATACCATGCTATGCTGCGCTATGCTATGCTATGCTATGCTATGCTATGCTAAGCTATGCTAAGCTATGCTATGTAATATTGTGCTGTGCTATGCTAATCCATGCTATGCTCTGTTATGCTATGCTATGCTGCGCTGTACTATGCCGTGCTGTGCTGTGCTGCGCTATACTGCGCTATGCTATGTTATGCTGGGCTATGCTATTATATGCTGTGCTGCGCTATGCTATGCTATGCTACGCTATGCTATGCTATGCTGTGCTCTGCTATGCTAAAGCTCAGCGAAGCTAAGACGAAGGTAAGCTAAGCTAATATAAACCTGAGCTAAGATGACACTAAGCTAACTTAAGATGACATAAGCTAAGCTAATATAATATAAGCAACGCTAAGCTAAGGGGCCGTCACTGGGGGAACCGCGGGGCGGATACTGGGGGAACCGCCCGGGGCGAGGACCACTGCCAGGCCCTTAAGCATACACGGTAAGAACCCTTCTAGGCAGAGCCTAGGTAGGGAATGAAAGAGAAGCATGCACGTACACAGACCCTGGCCAGGCCGCCAGGCCGCGGATGGGCCTAGCCAGGATCAGTGTATGTGCAATTTTTTCATCGCCCGACCAGCGCCGATTCAAGAATCCGCGCGGAACTCCAAACAACCTATGTTTATGCACTCCGAGTCGAGAATCCGCTACCGTGCCCTCGGACACGAGTTGGATGAACCTCAGGCCTCTTCCTCAATTCCCTTAGCCGCAGTCCTCAATCCCGAAGATTCTTCAAGGGCTCCGGACCCCAAATTCCCGGAATGTCTTGGGCGTGGCGCGTGCCACCTGGGCCGCGGGGAATGTTGTCGCCTGGCCATCTCGGAGCCACGAGAGCCCCAAGTCGAGCCAAGAGAGGCCAAGGAGGCCCTCAAGACGGTCCGAGGAGGGCGTCGAATTACCGAGCGAGCGCTTCAAGACGCCCAAGGTGGCTCCGAGACGGCCTACGGAAGCCTCCGAGACGCGCCAAGAGAGGCTCAAAAGTCGTCCCAAGAGGTCCAAGACAGCCCTAGAGGCCGCCTCCAGCGCCCCAAGACACCCCAAGAGGCCCCAAAATAGGGCCCCAAGGCGGACCAAGTGGGCCCCGAGACTGCCCAAGAGGCGCCCAAGACGGCCCGTCTTGGGGTGTGTGAGCCCGAATCGACAATTCGAGCCTTCTGCCTCAAGAGACCCCCAGGAGGCCCTAAGAGCCCCCAAGGGGCCCCAAGAAGGGGCACCTAAGACGCACGAAGGCACAAAATCGTCCTCCAATAGGCGTCAAAACCGCCTCCACGAGGCCCCCGAGAGGCTTCCTGCGACATCCCAACGAAGTCCTAGAGGCCCATGACCCACAACCCAAGCACGGTGGGATAGGATAACATCTGGACTTCGACCTCCGCCGCAACAAGGACGCGCACCTGCCACACGTCCAGGGCTCGTCGTCCGACAGCGCGCTCGCGCAGCGGGGAAGCGCGTGATGGGGCCGTGGCTGCGCACCTCCTCGCAGGAGGTAGACGCCGAAGGGGGGCTCTCTGGCACAAAGGTGCTCCTGGGGCGTCATGAGGCCAACCTGGCGTACTGCAGAAACGCGCACGACAATACATCCTGTATAAGACATCTTGGGGCACCTTCTTCGTTAATCTGTGAGGGTCCGAAGTTGCCCCAGAGCTTCTGTGGGTCCCTGGGGCCATCGGAGGAACAGATCTTTGCATAGGGCACCTGCTCGCAGGTCGATCCTTTCCTTGATGCGCCTATTCTAGGAAGGGAACACGGGGGAAGGGACGGAGAGAGGAGGGAATATGGATACGTAAGGAGGACGATGAGAACAAGGCGCAGGAGAAGGCCTAGGACGAACACGAGTCACGTCGGATGATGGACAACCTCTCCAAGGCCGCCCAGGCAGCAGCGGCTGCTCCGCTCAGCCAGGGACGAAATCCCTGGCTCTCAAGCCAGAGGACGATGAACAGTGGGGGGAGGAGCACGAGGAGTACGAGAAGAAGGAGGCCGAGCAGATGTAGGAGGACGAGCAAATGTAGGATGATCGTACAAAAGGAGCGCTCCCGGCTGCATGTGTGCAACGACGACGAGGACGAGGGAATCCGCCAACCCCCGCTTGCCAGGGGTACAAGTGCGTGTGAGACATGTTGGTGTCCCCCTGTCCCTGTTCCCCTCCCTTGGGGGCTCAACGTGCCGCTTGAGGAAGGGAGGGTGGACGAACTTGTCAACGCCTATGACGGCCCAAGAGGAGCGCTGCTGCAACACTCCAACGAGGGGTATGGCGACCTAGGCGGCGCCAGTTGGGGCTCAGCGCCCATCCACGAACTCCGCGGGGAGGTCCGAACGTTGGCGATTATGCATGCTTGCCCCCTAAATCCTCAGAGGGGTTCTTGTTATCAGAAAGCATCCTCTGCTCTTCATCATCCTCCGCGGACTTCTTCTCACATTCGTCTCTTCTCATCACGTTACCGTCGCCCTCGTCTTTTCATCTCTACCCTGCACTCCACGGTTCTATCATATTTCGTGCACATAGAACTTCACCACCCCCACCAACGCCACGTCCCCCCTCCAGGGATGCAGCGTCCGCCGCACAGGCTATGCGAAAACAGCGATATTCATTAGAACTCGTGCCCTCCCGAGTCCACCTTCCCACTCCAGGGATGCCACGTCCGATCCTGAGTGAAGCCTTGTTCCCAACATCCTGAGCAGGGTTTTTATCTTCAGAGACCATCCTCTCCTTCTCCTCCTGCCCCTCCTCCTCCTCCTCCTGCTCCTCCTCCTCCCAACCCACCAGCCCCACCACCAACCCCACCAGCGTCTCCAGGGAGGCCGTGTTTGACCACGCGGGCTATGCGGAGGCCTTGTTACGTATCATGGTTCGTGTCCTTCCCACACCAGCGCTACGTTTCCCCTTTCAGGGAAGCCACATCGGACGGCGCGAGATATTCGAGTACCATGCGGTCCCTTCATCCCCACATTTCCTCTTCCAAGGCGATCGCGCAAGACCGCGTCGGTTATGCGGATACGCTGTTATGTATCATGTCTTGTGCCCTTCCCACTCCACCAGCCCCACCATCGCCCCCTGTTCCCCTCCAACGATGTCGCATCCGACCGCACGGGCTACATGCGGATACCCCGCTATTTCTCAAGTTTAGCGCTACCACCAACCCCACCAACACCGGGCTTCAACATTCCAAAGATGCCGGGTACGACCACGCGGGCTATGCGCATACCGCACTATCTATCAACAAATTCGCATGTTTCCGTGATATTCACACGGATTTGCGCCCTGCCCTATACCAACCTCACCCGCGCCACGTTTCTTCCTCTGGGGCGGCCGCGTCGGACCGAGCGGCCTACGTGCAGACCGTGTGATTTATCAGGGTTCGTGCTCTCCCAGCTCCACCAGCCCCACCGGTCCACCGGAGGAAGGACTAGGATGACGACGAGAACGCTTCATGAAGAGATGTGGGGTGGGCGCTCCTACGGTGAGTAATGCAGTCCAGAGTCGGAAGATGTGGAGGGCCACCTGGAGTCGCACTGTGAGGGGCGACGACGAACTAGATGGGGGACTCGGGAAAAGGGAGTGCCAAGCGTACATATCCTTGTTTGAGTCTTTATACTACTTTGCTTATGCTGTGCCCACCCTTGGCCACGCGACCCGCGTGGAACTGTAATGTGGGGGAATATGATGGCATGATTCGCCTCTGGCAGAAAGCATGGGAGGTTAGGGCGATCACCCTCTTGGTGGTAGTACCACGAGGCGTCCACGTACAGCTCCTCCAACTCCCTGGTCTCGTAAGCGTCCAAACTCCCTGGCGCAAACCCTCTCAACACATCTGATCGCGATACGGCAGGGTACGTCCGAGGCCGCAGTGCTGGCCCATATGGAGGCAGCGCTCATCCCCCAGGTACACAGGAAAGACACAGGGCACAATGACATCGACCTGACGCGACGGTGCCCACCGCATGTCGCCACATCCCCAAACTGTCGGTCCGACCACTTCTGGCAAGCCGTGCTCGTCAACATGCGTCGCTGGGAAAACAATGCTTGCCCATCTCCTCGTGTGGGGAAGGGGTCGGAAACGGGTCCTGGACCATGGGGCTCTGCTCTAGGGCGTGCCGAAGAGGGCGCCCAGGAAGAGGAGATTAGGCGCATCGAGGCATGTGCGCGAACGAGGGGGTCCAGGAGACCTACTGAAAGAAGAGCGGGGGCCAAGGAATCTGGGAAATGTCCTTGCCCTGGCCGTGGTATCCACACACCCCGACCGTTCACCCTCCTCCTGGACGCCCTCCAGAGGTGATCCTCCCCCTGCCAGAATGTGATCAGCGTCAGTCCTCTGACACCTTCCAGCTGACCACACCGAGCAGGACAACCGAAGCCGAGCGCAGCGCATGGCGACGAGGCCACCAAATGCCCTCCCAAATCTGGCCCGCACGGGGACGGAAAGCGTCTCCTTATAAAAGACGCGAGATCGTGCAGTCGCAGTGCTACCATCAGGAATCCTCAATGATGGAGCTTCTCTGGCCACGGCGAGCCTCGGGTGCGAACAGGTTCCCCGACTTAAATCAGAGGAGCGGTCCGAAAACTGTAGACCCTCCAGGGCAGAAAGAGTGGTCCTTGTTTCGGCGCCGTGCCTATGGGCTTGTCCATTTCTCATTAGTCGAATCAGCCAGCCAACCGTCCGACTAGCAAGCCTGGGGGAACGATAGGGGGGACCAGCTCAGGGGGGGAAACCTCGGGCTTGTCATTGCATCGGCGATGAATGGGTGGTTGGGGGCCGATGCGTCCCCCCTTGAGCCCATCCCCTTCGAGCGTTGCCCTCTGAGACCAACGGGTCGACCAACCAACCGTACAGTCACCCCCGGCCGACCTGGCCCCGAACACATCCAGCAGGTCCGATAAGCCACCCAACCACGCAAGCAACACTGCGTGCTCCGCACTGCGCCATCGCTGCCGCCGCCGTCGACGCCGACATCGCTGCCGCTGTCCTCGTCGTCGTCGTCGTCTCCTCGTGGTCGTCCCGCTGTCGTCGTCGTCGTCGCGGTCGTCGTCGTCGTCTCGTCGTCGTCTCGTCGTCGTCGTCTCGTCGTCGTCTCGTCGTCGTCGTCTCGTCGTCGTCGTCGTCGTCGTCTCCTCGTCGTCTCCTCGTCCTCGTCGTCGTCGTCGTCGTCATCGTCGGCACCTCTCGCCACGATGGGGCCGTGGGGCGTGGGGCGGCCACCCGGGAAAGCGGCGTCTGCCCCGGCCGCGAGAGCGCGAGTCGCCGCCATCTCTGCGCCCCTGCGGGTGGCCCACACAAAGGCCTCGGTCCAACTCCCCATGTGGCTCATCTGGGTCGTTTCTTGGAACCGCGTGGGACCCTGGCTGCGAGGACCCCCCTAATTACCCTAGCGAGACCCCACATCTTAGTTGCGAAGAAAGGACACACAAAACGACGACGGGACGCATCCGCCAGACGCCTGTGAGGTCAAACTTCTCCCGGCTCTTGAAGACGGCGTCAGACTTGGCCGCCGCCTGCGGCGGAGACTCCGCCAGGTGAAGGAGAGTCTCTCCTACTATAGATATGAACGCACTACTTGTTTGGTCGACAACCGCTTGCGCACTATCGCGGATACATCGGGAGAACAGCGCGGCCGCGCGCGTGCGTCAGGAGAAAACAAGCCTGGCAAGGGAAGTGGCCTCGGTGGGCCATCACCGAAAGAAAGTGTCGCGTCGGCGGCCCAGCTGAGTCGAACATGAACGGTGGGGATCCCTAGCCTGGACATGCGAAGCGATGCTGCCATCGAGACTGAAGGGACAATACCTGGTCGCAAAAGACCCAGCACCATCTGAGACCAGCGCGTTCTCGGATGCCTCAGTCGTCAACAGCAACAATGCAACAACCACAATACGCAGGACCCCCCAGAGCTCAGCCTCACCCGCCCACGAAGGCACAAAGGAGTTCTAAGATCCTGGTCCATCTTTCCCCTCCTTCTCGGCGGCAGCCTCCAGAGAGACCTCGGGGGACCCTTCGGCTCTGGGTACCTCCGCGGGGACCTCCGGGGGTCGGGGTTCGGGGCGGTTCGGGGCTGGCCATGATGTATGTGTTCGAAGGCGGCCGGCTCCCGCAGCCAAAAAAGCGCATGAGTATGCATATTATCATACGCACCTCGATGAGGGGTCAGAGCTCAGAGGTGATGAAGTGAAGCCGGCTCAACTTTTCCTGGCCGTTTGCTTGGGACTTCCTCAACATTATGATGATCGGACGCACCTTTCACATATATCGGGACGCCAACATTCTACAACACGTGGGATTTCCAACATGCTCCCCACATCTTTCAACACAAGCGGTATAAAAGAGTTATACAGAACTGTGATAATACAAATGTTTGTTCGATGGTGTCCTGAGCAGCCTTTTAATGTCCTGTACTTATCATCCCAAGCACCAGGGACAATCACGGATGTTGCACGTAAATGCCACTCATCCAAAATACAACCATCGTGGTGCCACGAGGGACGTCAAATAAGAACCGGAAGAGCTTTTCTAACCACGGCAGGCCTCGGCCAGGAAAATGTTCCACGACCGCGATTTAGTGAACGGCCCGAACACCAGAGATCCTCCTAAACCCACCCAGTTCCTCATTTCAGAGTGCTGGCTGTACTTCGGATCCGATTTGCCGATGTGGGACAACGACGTGATTCGCCAGACGAGCAACACGTTGATGTTTTAGAAAACGGCCGCGGTATCATAACACGAACCTAGACCAAATATGATTTCGGGGGTCCGCGTGGACTTCCTAGAATGGCGCGGACCTCCGAACATGTATCCCCAAACGATGTCTGCACTTAGGGGCTCTCACTTTCGTGCGCTGGGTGGGTCCGCCGAGGTCGCGGCACGTTGCCGCCCGTGGGGCCTCTGTGGGCGCTCGCGGGCGCCCCGTGCGCTGGCTAGGTCAGACGAGGCTGCACCATGTTTCCGCCCGTGCTGCCTCTGTGGGCGCTCGTGGGCGCCCCGTGCGCTGGGAGGGTCCGGTCCGCCGAGGTCGCTCAACATTGCCGCCCGTGTCGCTCAATGGGCGCTCGTAGGCGTCCAGTGCGCTGAGCTTGCACCACATAGCTCACACCGCATAGCTTACACAACACAGCTTTCACCACACAGCTTACACCGCATCGCTTCAACCTCGAATTCACACCACATAGCTTACACGGCATGGCTTTCATCTTTATACCTGCAAAGCTCACACCACATACTTTACACGACATGGCTTGCACCACATCACTTGCAACGCATATTTACACATAAGCAGTGCAACAACTCACTGGTTTGGATCCACGCTGGCTAACATGTTTCTTATATGTTTTTGAATGGCCGACCCTCCTGGGTTGCAGATACGCGGATCTGGCGCGTCAGCGTCAAGTCCACGCACTGGGGAAAATACACCCGAAACATGAGGTCACTGCCACCTGAAGTGCTGACATATCAAGCCGAATCTGCACGACAACGGGACTCGTCATTAACCCACGCACCGCAATCAATGTCTGCGGGTCTTTGCTTTGAAAAAAAAACGTTTGTCACGTCCAAGTGGATATGGAAACATTGATACCATGCCAACAGAGCGTACGTGTGTTGTCCAAAGCCAACAGCGGCGCCGCTGCTGGGCAGGCATCTCTCAAGTGGACAACGTCCGCGGCGACACCGACAAACAATCGGGTTCAAAATGAAAAGGAACAACTGACAATCTTTTTCCGCATTTTTGTTGTACCCATTTCGACCGCACCGAACTTTGATCCTCGGGCGGCGACGACGACGACGACAAGCGGGGCCTCCTTGCGGTACGGGCCGAGTGCGCACTTTCCCCGCCTGGCCACAGCGCCGCGCCTCCGCAGCGTGGCGCTCAGGGTGGCCGTGGACGCCAGGGTTCCTGTCGAGGAAAAAAGGGGGGAGCTGGGCCACCAGACTCCCTCCTCTTCCTCCTCCTCCTTCTCCTCCTCCTCCTCCTCCTCCCTCCCTCCTCCCTCCTCGCTCCCTCCCTCCTTGGTTTTCCTCCTCCTCCTCCTCCTCTTCCTTTTCCTCTTCCCTACTTTGGGCTTTCGGCATGTCGTGGACGGCAATCGGAATAATAAACTTGATTCGCATCTCTCAGGGTTTATGGCCCCAAATGTGCAGCAAAAGTGAACTCCTTACGCGTAGGTCGCCGGGCAAACCAACTTCTGCTGTGTCCAACGCCTCTCATCGTAACCCACATGGTCGTACTGTTCGTCCCTCCCGCTCCCTCCTCTGGAGCAGCCTGATACGATCTCGGGCGAACGGTCGTTTTCGGATCCTTGGCTGGTATACAGACCCCCTTTCTTTAATCATACCTGACATAGCTGGACGCTGCAATGCGCTCTTTTCCTGCTCCCTCGTCGCTCCACCCAGCCTTTGCCGACTGCATATGTTCATTAAGCTTCCTGGTTTGCCGCAAAGCTGAGTCCAACGGGCCGACGGTTTCCTCAATCTGAAAAGGGTTGGGGAACCCAACCAGCAACTTCACCTAAGGCGAAGCCCGAATCCAACTCCGCTGTACCGTGATAGCGCTAGTCCCAGAACCAGGGCATCATCGCGGGAGCGACGGGCCATCTCAAACGAATCGGTTTTCGGTCTCGATAGCAAGTCGTGTGCCTCGCAATGAGGCGCAGTCATATATCGGCGGCCGGCCGCTTGAACACAAACGGCCGCGGACAAACGCTCGCAATCTCTCGTATTTGCGCCAACTCCCTTTAAAGTCGGGGGGGATGAACCGAAGCGTGACCCCGCCGCCCGCTATACCGTAAACACTACATGCGCAAAAACAAACAAACAGCAGAAGGCATGTTCAAAAGGAAGGTGAACCCGCACGCAAGCTGCCTTGCGAACAGGTCTCTCTGCAAGCGTGTACTCCTCAGGCGGCCTCAAACGACGTTGTCTGTCCAGCCCGGTACAGGGTATGACATATTAAATCGTGATTGAAAGGTTGCGCTCCTCCCAGGACCTGGAAGAGCACACGTATATATTTATGTATATAATCATATATACATACATATACATATACATTATATATGTGTCAATGCTCCCTTCGGTGTGACCGCCCGCGGTCATGTCGCGAGTGTCACACCACTGTATACGATTCACGATACCTCGCTCCATCATCTGTCGTATCCAACTGATGTTGCCCAAAATAATATACTCGGTCGGTTTCTTCAGGTCTTTGTTTGACACGGGCTTGAAGACATATGCAATGTATATATATATATATATATATGGTCAAAATGACCTTACTGCTCAGGCCAGCCATCTCCAGTATATCCTTCGACTGGGTGGGTGTCAGTGGCCCTGCGTGGAGTTCGTGCAGAGTGACGATCGTGGGATAGCCGTTCTCCAAGTTGTGGGCTGCTTCGAGTGTTTCAGCTGAATAGCTTGAGCGGGCCTGCAAGCGGTGAGACTTGCAATGCGCATCGAACAAATGGACGACAGGCGCACCAGTTGGCGTGCTTCCGCGCCGTAGCAGCATTGCCCCGCGAATACAATAGCCTTTGACCTCGACATCAACATCTCCACTCAGGCGTCGATAGCCGGAGTCGCTGTGCAGGTCGACTTCGACCTTTGGAGTCATCGAGACATAGATGATCTTATTAGGGCAGGCCTGCAACTTCCCGGTAATCGCGTTCAGGGAAAGCAGCATATACCATCAACCGCACCTGTGTGATTTCTGCGAAAGCCAGCGCGCCTCTGAGGCTGAGAAACATGTCAGTGACCATCTTTGATGCCTTGGCGTCAGCGTCTGCGCTGGTGAGTTGAGGATGTTGTATAGGACGGAGCTGGTTGCTGTATTCATCTTGGTCAAGTGTAACATCGCCGTCCCCACCCTTGGTGTAACTCACTGCGCAATTGGTATATCCATGTTTACTGAGTTTACATTTGCCAAAAGTACCCTCAACACACTCGACGCACCTGTCGACGGTGTCCTCAGTACAAGCCATATTGATACCATCAACATGCTTGGCTGTGAGAAGGTTGTCGCTTGTCTCGCGCTCCTCGTCGTAAGACGTGGGTCTGAGACCAGGCCCTTCCGTGGTCTTGCTGAGAATCAGTGAGAAGGCTCTGGGTGCATCCTTGGTGCCGGTGCCTGGCTTGAGGCGCTGCGAGCAGTGCATCGAATCCTGGGAGGGATCGAAGCGCCAATGCTGATCCAGGTGGAATGTAAAGCGTATCGCGCGTTTCTTCTCACCGGTTGCCTCAGCAAGTCCCTGGTAGGTCAGCCCCTTCAGTGTAGCCATCTTGATGTCAAGGGAAGCAATGACCAATTGCTTCTTGCACGCTGCCGCGCTTGCGAGTAATCTCTGACTTGGCCACCGTGCCGCCCCTGAGAAGGTTTCCACCTCGAAGGCTTCGAGGCCCATGAAACCCCGAAATGCCAGGCGTAGTCTCATGGTCCGTTCCATATCGCCCTTTTCCTTCTTTACGAGCTCCCACTTATATGCGCATCTCCAAGTAATAATGTTTGGCGCCTTTGATATATCTTACATATTGAAGCATGTTGTCAAACCGTGCCTTGAGTGCAGTATATAGGGCGTTTGATACCTGGACTGGGTTCGCCAGAGTGCCGGCCTTCGCGAGGGGGTCGTCCTCCTCGACGACCGCAGCTCGTTTTGCGACAGCGGTCACATATACTCGCATGGTGGTCACACGGTCGAAGTCTAAGATCCTATGTTGCTGTTCGGATGGGACTACCTGTGACATGTCTCCAGTAACGCTGAGCTCAATATATTGACTATTCTTCGTCCGAGTCCAATCCGTAAGTATCATCTTCGCCCCGGGAAAATAATGGGACGCGATATGTCTCCGTGATGTCGGAGTCGCATGGGTAGCCCCACGCAGGCAGGTGCCACCGCTGTTCTTCAGCTACCGTGACCAGCACACTGTTGTCAGCGTTCTCAGGTGTGGGTACAGTGCGACGGTCATCTAATGGAAGTGCCTCCAATAGTACCCTTTTCCCCCTGTAGTTCCGCGCGCCACGCATCCATAGTATGTGCGCGAAGGTCCGCTTCCGAATCCTCGCGAATCGCAGGGAGCCGCCCGTCCTCCTGTGGTGATTCGGCTTCTGGAGCTTTTCTCGCGTTGTTTTCTTGTGCCGGTGCGTCTGCCAGTTCATCGAACTTCGCCATGTCTTGGTCGATGCCCGCGTGGGGTGTAGTGGGCTTTAGTCATTGGATGATCCTCGAATGTGCTGATCCTGTTATATCATGTACACTCAGGGCAGCGCCTTCGGCTTCGGAAAAATGGAAGCCTGGACTCACGTCGTCATCATAGTGCACCAATGTACAGCTGTCAGCATAAGCCACCGAAGGTAGCTCGTGGATACTCTTAGCTAGCCTGACATAGACTACGTCCGCGGTGCGAAAGACATTTATGATGAGGTATTGGAGTGCTAAATGCACCGTAGGAGATAGTCGGCTCGCAATCGTCCTCTGACGCGTTCCCTTTTTGGTCGGGCCGCAGCCAATGTCATAGCAGGTCGCCCCGCAGGTAGACTGGCGACAGATGTCAACGCTGTCCGTAGCGCAGTGTTGTCTGAGCCACTCTCGGGCTATCAAAGCTTCGATGCGTGGTGAATGTCGTGCGTCGCCACATTGGACTTGCACACCGCGGTTCCCCACTCGGATAAAAACTCGGCCCCTGTCGGGATCGTTCCGCACGGCCGGGAAAAGGCCGTTCCAGCCTCCCCACTCGTCCTTCGTAGTCGTAGGACGATGATAGTCAACCAAGTCTCTTTCACCATAGTAGTGATGACCAGTGGTAGTCGTCTTGGCACGCAGTGCACGATTGATTTTGGCTACTGCAGTGGCTCGTGTGATAGCCTCAGCTTTTCATGATCCAGAGCAGGCAGGTCGGGCAGCATCGCTGGTTGCCGTCCACACAAGGCGTTGCACGGAGGCACCTCGTTGCAAATGGCGAGCGCCTTGGCGGCAAACGCGGCTTCATGCAGAAATCGTATGAACACAAGATTTAGGCCTGACCTGTTTGAGCTCAGTCTCCATGGCGTGAAGAAAATGACGTAGTATGTCACTTCTGGCTTCAATTGTCGCCGCGGGATGCCCACGCGCGCGTATCCTCAGCCCGGCGCCCTTCGCCTTCAGGACTGCCGTCGCGGTGTCGCTGTTAAGAGCACCCTCCCCGTCTGAGCCGAGTACGTTGGCAGGTCCGAATTGCATCCAGCACTGATGGTGCGCATCTACTGGTCATCGTTCTCCCTGGTATCTCGATTCCAGCGGCATCTCGAATGCAACGATCAATGCTGTGAAATATCTGGTGTTCTTTTTTTGTGGAACATCAAGACGCGTTCAAACTCCTCATCGAACTTGCCAGGCAGTGCAACGGATGGCATAAAGGCATGCCCTGGCTTGTCCCAAGCCCTGCGCTCCCGACATGCGTCACAGACACCCTTGATCAAGTTAACCCTGACGTTGTCCAGACCAGCCTTGGTTCGGACGAGTCGCATCTTAGGCTCTTTGGCGCGGGACCACCGCAAGTGTAGTTTCCGCAACTCGCGTGTTACCGCGTTTGGGTCAAGGCCCCGTAGGTTATGCAGACAAACTTGCACATCAAACCTTGACCAGTCTGGGAGTCGTGGACGGGCAGCAGGGCCCCCCGCAGGTGATGGCGGAGGTGGATCTCCTCCTTGCTGCCGACCGCGTCCGGCTAAGATATGCGGTAGTCGTCTGTGATCATCCGAGCTAGCGGCTCCGCCCGATGTCTACCTACTGTAATATCGTGGCTGCTGGCACCGGCTGTTGGTCCAGCTCTGGAACCAGGTCTCGGTGCTCGTAGCCGCACAAATGGTGGTGCGGCTGGTGCCTCGGGTGCGGCTGCCGCCGCAAGTGGTGGCGCTGCCGGTTCAGCAGG